CCCGGGACCTCCCGATCATAGAGCAAGCGCTACAACCACTACACCATAGGAGGCCGACTTAACGAATCAATAAAAATGGAGTCTTACGAGAATGTGACGAGTCCCCAATTTTCCATGCCACCGACCGGGAAATATCTCGGGGGAATAGCGACCATGTCCAGCTTGGGCAGCGGGTACTTCATATCGAAGTATTTCTCGAGATAATCCAGCACTTTGGGAGCGTAGTTACTGGCGAACTTGGTCAAGTTCCGTTCGACGTGGTTTGGACGCGCCCAGACGCGGATCTCGATCCCTGACTTGCTGCGCACGATCTCGTCGTGGGCGAAATCCGATACAACGAAAGCGACCAGGTACGTTGACATCGGAAGCGACTCGGCGAATCTGTCGCGGACCCAATCTACCTTACCCCTCCTGAAAGTTTGAGTTGGAAATAAGTTCATAAGTAAAATACGCCATGTAGATAGACAGACAGATAGATAGATAGATAGATAGATAGATGGATAGATAGATAGATAGATAGATAGATAGATAGATAGATAGATAGATAGATAGATAGATAGATAGATAGATAGATAGATAAGTAGATAGATAGATAGATAGATGGATAGATTGATAGATGGATAGATAGATAGATTGATAGATACATAGATAGATAGATAGATAGATTGATAGATAGATAGATAGATAGATAGATAGATAGATAGATAGATAAATAGATAGATAGATAGATAAATAGATAGATAGATAGATAGATAGATAGATAGATAGATAGATAGATAGATACACTGGAAAAAAACACATTGGATCTAGAGTCCGGACTCTTGAAAACATTGACAAGAAAAAACAAGCAGTAAACTCCAACACAATGTGTTGATAAGGCGCGTCATTAACTCACACATATCAACCCCTTTAGTTTTCATTTACAGAGATTTCAAAATAGGCAAGTAGCACAACAAGAGAATTCATACGAGCCAACACTGAGAGGTCAACGACGCACTTTGACGAGACCGTGTATTGTGAATGTAAAAAGCCATTCGAACGAGTTTAAGTTTTTTGATCTGCCCCAAGCAAAACCTTATCAGATTCTTAAAGAAAAGTGCTACGTAATAATTTAAACGAAGAAAGAAAAAATTTTGTCGAACTCCTGAAAGATAAAGTCGATTTAAAGGTATTTTGGGGCTAAAATACCCAAATCACCGGCATTATGAATCCCGTTATATTATTGAAAAGAAATTGACTCGATATAAATGCAATTGCATTAGATATGTCTTGATTTTGTTAATTTAAACGTATTTCCATGCAAAGAAGTTCAACCATGTCCATGCTTTATTCATTCATGAATTGAAAGTGAGCAATCTACATCCCGAAAATCTACCGATTTGCCGAAAAAAATTGCTATAGTCATTTTGGATGCAGTTACTTCTCATGAAACAATAATAATTTCAATCCCGAAAAACCATCAATTTTCCGTATAAAATCGAAAAATCGAAATGTGTCGACTCCCTGACGTGAACATTGGATTATACGTGTAAAAATACTCACGTATCGATATGCATATCAGAAAACCAGAACCAGAACAGGAACCATGTGTGGACACAGTTAGCAGTCCGCGGCAACATCCATTCAACAGAATAATGGCAAAAATTAGATAGGATTTTAGCCGCTTTGCCCGCCTCTCCTCGTTATTTACAAACCGTTCCTATACTCATCTCGAAATTTTTTTCAGAGCTTTGTGTTATTATCAGCTTTCATTTAAATCCCGGTTCGATGACCGAATCGGCTGCCCAAAAAGCAAGCCATTTTTGAAAGGTTCTATCAGAAATTCGTAATTATATCGGCTCTCAGGAAATCACCCCATGGTTATAATTGGTGGTATAAATGTTTGAGTGCTTAAAATAATCGTATTCAAGAAACTAAGG